CACCTAATTTATTTACTTCCCCTAATTCATTGATTTTACATGCTTCACTAACATTTCCCATTTCGCTTACTTTATATACTTTGCTAACTTCTTGTATTTTGCTTACTTCATGTGCTTCACTAACCTTCTACATTTTGCTTACTTCACATATTTCACTAACATCATACATTTTGCTTACTCTTCATTTACTTCACATTCTTCGGTTGCTGTGCTTACTTTTTAACTTCGTCTTCCTTATGTTGATTTTTTTTTCTTTGCTTTATTCATTCGTTTGTTCCGTCTTACTTTGTTTACTTCATGTTCTTCGGTTACTATACCTACTTTGTTAACTTTGTCTTCCTTATTTTGATTTTTTTTTTTCTTCGCTTTGTTTGTTCCATTTGTTCTGTCTTACTTCATTTACTTTACGTTCTTCAGTTACTGTGTCTACTTTGTTAACTTTGTCTCTCTTATTTGGATTTTTTTTTTTTCGCTTTTCTGTTTGTTCTGTTTATTTCATTTATTTAGCTTCGTTTGGTCTGTTTGTTTATAATGTCATGTTACTTGAACTGCAAGAATAGTGTAACAAGCTATCAGAAGTTAAGCAGCTAATACTATTTGTTTATCTGTCACTATTTTAATGTATAGCCTAATATGCATATACTTGGGAAGGTATTTCTCTACTATGTATTACTGTAAATATTTCACTTCTAATTTTTATTTATATTATGTGCTAACAACTAACTAACCTTTTTACAAGAATAAATTTTATTTTATACTAATTTGATCTGTGTAACAATTTTGTATAATATTTTTTATTTAACTTTTAAACTACGATATACTATTATTTACGATTTGTACTACTAATGCACTGCGGTGCATGATGAACTCTTTACTAATTCCTATTTTTTAATATATAAATTTTTTCATGTTTCAGTCAACTCTCCCCAATGATCACTCGGACCAAACTTATGGCTAACAAAAACAGAAACTTGTTAAAGAAAAGTAAAAGAAACAACTATAAATAACAGTTTTTACAGAGGTTAAGGATTTCCATGTTTCTCCAGACTCCTCTGTATATTCAGTATGCAAGTTAAAAGGGTTTCTGTACGAGATAACTGGCGAGAAGATGGTGCCCTTATACAGAAAATTTTAATATAAACTTTGCTTCTGCTGACGAAGTTAAAGATAGTTGGTCTAAGGAGAACAACAAGCAAGTTTTCAACACGTTTTTTACCAAAGTTTAAAGCTACCCACAAACCAAAACTCTCTTTCATATCCTCACTTTTGGTCTTTATAGAATTTCTCCAAAAAGTAGGAAAAACAGCATACTCCTGTCAAAAGATCGACAACAACAATCGCTATCGAAAAAGGAAAGACATGTACATATGTACATATCTACTTTTGGTTATAGTGTAAAATAACGTGATAACGTTTGAAACATTGCAGAAGACGTATCAACAAAATGGGATAGCATCTAGAAGTTTTGACCCTTGGAGCTCTACTTCAAGACCGGATAGTTTTTAATATTTTTACATCCTGGATATAGATATAAATAACTAGCATAGAGTTTAGTCTAGATTATTTGTAGTACTATATAATTTTTACAATCTCGCACAGGTTTAATAGTACTATTTTTGTTTCCTTTTCTTTGTTTTTCTTTTTTTTTGTTATTTGTTTTATTTGGTTTTATTGGTTTAGGTGAACCAGAACTCAATGCCGTAGTATTTCTTCATTTTTGTTATACCTTTTGTATTTGTGTTTTTTTTTCGTTTTGTAAAAAGAAAGTTAATTTGAATATGGTATGTGGCAATAGCCCATGACCAAAAGATAACCTCTAGTAAGTTAGGGGCCCGGAGAGAGGCTTGAAGTCCACTGAGGCAAGTCATACCTGGCAAAAGCATGGGTACATCACTTTATAGGTAGATTAAATATAGCTATTATTAGAGAATATAAATTTCTTAATATAGTTTAATCTCAATAAAAAGTGGCAGAACAGCCGAATTATAAAAAAAATATATTAAATTTTTTTTAGACAAAAAAAGCCATGAAAAGGTAAGTATTATTAAAATTTTAATATATAATTAATAAAACTATAAAATATTATTATATTTCAAAAATATTTAAAACTAACAAAATTTTAGATATTACTAACAAAGTGCAAGAAATTAAAGATGATTTGTAATTTTTTTTTTATTCAAATAACGTTACTTTTTTTTTTTATTTTTTTTATAGAAATTTAAAAATTTTTTTTTTTTATATATATTACAATAATAAAAGTAAATAAATTTGCTTTTATTATATATATTTTAACAATATTTGGATATTAGAATATAAATTAAAAATGAATAAAACAAAATATAAGTCATATAATGAACTCTCCCTGCTGATCCTCTGTATATAAAAATATAAAAACAAAACAATAACAAAAAATGACAGAAACACATAAACAGCTATAGGAAACAAGACTTGCAGCTTTAAGGGTAGGGTGAAATGATCTACATTTCAATAGTGATCACGTTACTAAAATTTTTTACAATAACATTTAATTAAA